TTGCAGGCCAGTTTGAAGAGTTGAGCATGACCATAAGTATTGCGGGTTACAACGTGGTCCTTGCCGACACCAGCATCCCTGCTTTATCAGACAGCTTTGACAGATGAACACATGGAGTAGATGAGGTTGGACTCATGGTTATGTCCAGGACAGTAAGTTGGATACTAAATCCAACTGAAATTTGGTCCAAAATTTGTCAGAGGAGCTTTCTGCTTAACTTTTAATTTAAACCCTGCCTTGCCAGTTGTCAGGCACAATTCCAATTTCAGTTCTGCTGGGTTAAGCTACTTTATGAATTTCCTTAGCATACGTGACTTATTTCCTCCTGCATGAACTGCTTAGCTTCTTGCTTTGCTGTGTTTAAGATGGTGTTGGGATCCCAGTGACAGCAGTACGTGCTGTGGTGGTGTGTGTCCTTCAGGCTGACATCCTTCAAGCCATTACAGCCATCTCGGTTCTCTTTGCCCAGACTGGCTGGGTGTTGGCTGCATCACGTCCACGATCTTTTAATCACGCATTTCTGGACTAAAAGCATGTCTTAATTCTGCTGGAATTATTGCTGGAATTAAAATGAAACTGAAGTACTGATTAAAGATGAACTGTTATCAATAAATTCAATTGTGACAGAATTTTCTTGTCCTTTGATTAATATTGGGGTGCCTCATGACTTCATTTGAATAGCATGTTTGATTTGCCCCCTCCTCTTGGATGTCATTATCTAAGAGTAAGGGTGTTTTAAGCTTTCCATTGCAGTCTGCTGTAGTGAGCAGGTTTTTTGTGAGGGTTGATGATTTTCAAAAACAGTATTTGATGGCAGTTTTTATAGTCTTAGGGCTGTTTTAGCTATTAAAGCATGTTAGATTTCATAGGATAGTAGAAATGGTGCTTGGGAGGGCTCTGGAGGATCTCTGCTAGACTAAACCTGGGCCAGCCCCCAGCTTGAGGTGCAACCAACATCATAATGGGTGAGCTTGACTTCATTTGCTGAATCCTGGAAGCCTCCAAGAACAGAGACTTCAGCTTCCCCAGGCAAGGTAACTCTGATTTGTGTCTCTGAACATCTGTTCTTAAGGTTCAGAGCTAAAGCGGTTTAGAATTTTACTGTCACAATGATACTACACATGAGAAATTTATTTCCTGTCAGAATAAAACTGACTTTGATTTTTGGTGATTTGTGCTCATAAATCATCTGTGTGAAAATACCTGGTATGGTTTTTCCAGTTGCCACAACTGCAGTCTTCCCCAGGCTGTTTATAATTTAAGAATATTGGAATATTTGCGAAGAATAATACCTTTAGCAATGAATCAAAATGTGCAGGAATAAACTGTGATTGCTGAAATGATTCTGAACAGCTGATAGGAAATCACAGCTGTTTAAGGATGAGGTGATTGTCCAGATATGTGAAGAACTTAAAGCCTCTGCCAGCCTACCAAGCTACAGTGTTTCCTTATTTTAATACCTGTCCTAGACCTTCAGTAAATGGTGTGCTTGGTTTAAAACAAAACAGAAAACAGCCACTGAGCTTGTTGGGTCCCATGGTGGGATGTGGTGTATATGGCCTTGCTGCTGCTTTTCATTTCCCAGTGCTGCTGCTTTAGTGCTCCCTGAAATACCTCATTGCCATATGAGCAAGCACAGGACAGGAGAGTCCCATCAGGGCATGCAGGGAATTTGGATCTGTTCTGTACTGAGAGAATCATCTGCTCAGGTGTGCAACATGTAGACAGATGTCTAATGATTTTGTTATTGTGAGAATATCCTTTTACAGGGGAAGAAAAGAGGTTCTCGATCTTTCTGCACGCCTTCTCACTATTCTGTTTCTGATTGCACTTTACCTTCTTGCTACTTCACCCTATCAGTGATTATCAGCATCCCTGAAGACTATTAAAGGCTTCAGTCTCCAAAGCTCTTAATCTAGACATGCTCACAGGCAGAACTGCCCATAATCCACCCAGACCTGCCAATAAGCTTCGACTTCTAAAAGCAGCATTATCTCTGGCTGGGCTTCGGGTTAACCTCCAATAAATTGGTCTGAATTATAAGTATGACCCTGAGCAAGAAGGACAAGGGCTGTAACATACACAGTCTCTGGTGGAAAGCCTCATGTTGTCTTTGGGATTTTGAGTTTGTGTGCAGGCTTCTTAGCAGAGCCTGGCCTGTGAAATGCCAGGGCTCTCCAGCCCTACCAGCATCATGGGGTTTAAGGATGTTTGGTATTTGACTGGATCATAACCTGAGCTAAAAGGTCTTATATACACGTATAAACTCACAGGGGTCCTTCTTCTGAGGGTGGAAAACACGCAACGCTGTACAAATGTGAAGTTTCATTGTGATTTTGTGTGTTTCTAGAAATAAACAAAACCAAAGAAATCGCTCTGATTTATTATGGAAATGGAAAGGAGCAGAGTGTGAATGACTGGGTACAAAACCATACGCTGGAAGGTTGAAAACCAAAGAACTCTGTATGTAAATGTGTTTAATGAGTACAGTTGTTGACAGCAAACACTGGCTGTATGTGACATGTCCTGTACAGAGTACATCTATATACACATTTATATAAGACTGAAAAGGCACTAGAGTTTTCCAGATAAACCACAAGTAAATTAACAATGTAAATCCAAACATGGAGGTTGAGGGATCTGTTTAGGAGGATGTGCTGGAAGGGAAACTTTGAAAATCACATGGGAAATTAGAAACCAGTTGCCCACTGAAAACTAGGGAATTTAAAAGTCCAGCTCCCATTCCTATCTTCAAAATCTCCCTTGATATACTGCTCAGATGCCAAATAATGTGTGTAGTATGAGATTAATGAGTCTGTAAAGGAATGTACAGTACTGCAGCAAGCTACACAGCATTAAGCTTCTTATGAAGCTGGACAGCTTACTATAAAATCTGGCACTCCCTTTTGTGCTGTTCTTAAACTGTGGGAATAAACGGCTTCCTTTAATGCTGAGGATCTAAATACATTCCTGTGCAAGCAGTGCCCGAGAAATCCTGGAGCTATTTGTAGGGTAAGGTGCTGCTGGAATTAGGGAGGTGGCCAAACCCTATGGCCAGCCTTTCATCTGCTTCTGCCAGAGCGACTTTTCTACCCTCATTTGACAGATGTGTTTATGGTTTAAGAAAATAAGTATTTTTTTTAATCTCTTAAAAAAACCTCACTGCAGAATAATATGTTATGAAGGAAACTTGATAAAACTAAGCTAAGATAGTGTGTGTATGTGGGGAAAAAAGCTATGTAGATATGAATAGTAAAACTATCTTGTGGATGTGTGTGTCTTTTAATGATTTTAGCTTTTGTGATTTTATTGCCTTACCTATGGAGTGTAGGCTGTACGTGCAAGAGGAATGTAGGTAGGCTTGCAGCTCATGGTTTTAGCAGTTGTAAGAAATGCTGAGGATGTTTACATGACATTTATTTACATAGCAAATTAAAGCAACAACCACCAGTGTTCAAACAACTGCAGTGTCTGTGTTGCCAGCCTAATGCACAGAGTGGCATGTCGGTCACCCAAGGGCAGGTTTCATGTGAGAAGATTCACTTTCTCTGTGGAGGCACAACTGCTTTGATCTGATTCTTAGAGCAGCTACACCTGTAAGAGACAGCAGCATCTGCTGTGCAGGGAATAATGAGTTCTGTAAAAAAGTGCATGTGTTTAAAGTCATGTTAATGCAAACCCTCAGTCAGCTTCATGGATGTGGTGGATAGCACACGGCAGCAGACCAACGGAATGGCCTCGCTTTCTGAGACACCTTTTGTGCTCCTGTCACTGTAAAGGCCCCTGATACCATTCAACTGATTCTTGTTTTCCTGAAATATTTTATTGCTCCTGCATTACAGATTTTGCCTTTTCAGTATGCAATGTCTATGCTGACTGGCTGCTCAGCAGAAACTGTGATGGAGAATTTTGGAGAGAGTTTTTGGCATGATCTAAAGTCCTTACAACTGCTTTGTCACCTGTTGACCACCTTTCTGTCATCCTTTTACTAAAAATGGTTGGACTAGGCGAGTGCATTTACCAATGGCTTTAGCAGGGACAAGAAATTACAGGCAGCAACAGGTTTTCAGGCTGTACGGATCCGTAACACCCAGACTGTCTCAGAGACAAGTGGCTTCTCCTGCATTGGTTCTCATCTTTTGGTAGACACCCGCTTGTCTTCAGTGGATCAGTTTGTAGAGAAACCTCCCAGGAAATTCAAGAGCAAAACTCCCACTGACCCGAATAACCATATCCAGGGAGAGCTCCTGTGTTTCCCAGAGGATTTGGTTAGCATTGCAACAAGGCCAGCTTTTGTTCATTCCTTAGTAAGTGTACATTGAAGGTCTTATTTTAAAAAGATAGTCAAAACAGCTTGGAAAGATTTTTTTGTTTAAATGTGAACGAGACAAAGCAGAAATCTGAAAGTCCTCCTACGTGGTCCTGTCAGTGCAGTACTGCTGGGGCAGCATGCACTGAGGGGTGTAAGCAAGCTGCAGCCAGCAAGAACCTTGCCAAAGTGTTTCCCAGTACTGGATATTTTGTGTTTGAAATGACCATTTCTGACCTCAGCCTGCAAACATGTAAGTATTTGCATATGCTTTGTATTTATTGGTATTGAACGTGGTTAAGTCTGCTGAGTTGAGACATGCATGCATGCACTCAGGTACTCAGAGAATTAGGATCTCAGGGGCACAAATGGAGGATGCACCATATATAAGCAACTGGCTATTATAGTCACTTGTTAAAATAGTTTATAGTGGCCTGTGAGGCACAAGAAGGAACATAGCACAGCTTTAAACAAGTATAAAATTTTAGATCGTATATCCTATGTTTTGCTGCAATGTGAAACTTGCACAATTATTTATGCCACAGATGAGTTGCATCTAAAAAAATTTAAATACTGAAAAAAATCAGTTTTCCCTCCAATTAAAACAATTCTCCACTTTATTCTGTTAGCCTATGAGACCGTACTTTCATTTAACGTTGCAATGATCTGTGACTGCAGAAGTTGCGTATGTTTATGAAAAAATGGACCAGTATATCAAATTAAATAGAATGTATGCACCAGGGAATATTATCCTGGAGTACTTGTCGATGGCGTGCGTGTCGATCCGCATGCTGACGTATCTCGGGTTTTTCCTGCGGCCCGAGCCCCTCTCAGACCCCAGCGCCAGCTGCACCATCATTCGGTCTGGTTTGTCCCCGTTCTCAGACACGTAGTGCCCCAGTTCGTTCACGTCCCCGTCGTTGTAGCTGCCGTCCATCATCATGGGCCGAGGCTGAGGTAGGCTGCACGCACAGGGGATCTGTGGACACAGGATGGGTTTGAGTTCTGTCCAGGTACACACAGGAAGCCCTTTTCTCCTTACAAAAGCAGAGGAAGGGACAAGCCCTGGGAATTCAGGTTGCTGGGACCTAAAAAGGGAGAACAAGAGGATGGAGGTGGGCAGCAGCTTTCTCAGTCTCTGGTCTCATGTCTGCAGGACACAACGCACTCAGGGAGGGTGCAGGGCTGTGTGTGGAAAAGTTCATTTGGCTTAAGCATGGTTATCAGGGTGGGAATAAAGCCTGGACCTGGACCTTGAAACTGAGAAAATCAGAGACGGGAGCAGAAGGAATCCGCAAAGAGGGATGTGTCAGGCTTGCCCCACTTGAAAAGAAGAGCTTAGGCAGAAATTTTGGGTGGTTATAATTTGATGTAACAAAGACAGAAAGGAGAAGTTTGAATCATTGTATTTGAGTCTAGACTATGCCTAGAAAAAGGTGAGGGAAATCTGTCACATTATCTGAAACCTAAAACACTGTATCCATCTGGTGCTAATCACAGGCTTGGGGAGAAAAAAATATTCAGCATAAAAAAACCTTTTAAAGGTAAAATCCTAACCCCTATACCATTTATACAGGCAGTGGAGGGCTGTAGATGGAGGGACTGAGTGCCCTCAGCCTGCAGAAGGAGCAATGAGTTTGGATGTGGGTTGTCTGCAGCAAATCTTTACAACCAGGAAATCACTGCTGCTGTCTTTTTGCATGCTCTGCATCCAACCCCCCAGGCAGCTGAGAGCAGCACACTGCAGTTGAAAACTTCTGAGCATTTCCCAACAATTGCCACACCTTTCCCAGGGGCATAAAGCTGCACTGGAGACAGAAACCTCACCTTGTCCCGGAGTTTCCGCTCCTTCCGCTCTTGCACTGTAGTCAGGTAATTCACTGCCGCGTATTCCAGCACCGAGAGGAAGACAAACACAAAACTGACCCACAGGTAAATGTCCACTGCTTTGATGTAGGAAACACGGGGCATGGAGGCGTTCACCCCAGTGATGATCGTGGACATGGTCAGCACGGTGGTTATTCCTGGGAATACACCAGCAGAGAGCCTGTAAGGCACTTTAAATGCAGACTTTTCATGGCAAATACAGCTGTCATTACAATTTCCTAGCATCTGAGTTTATCTTGCAATAATTTTTTCACATTTGAGTGGTGCATTTCACTGTCTGAGGAGGGTCCCTGATTTCTGACTGGGGTTGTCCTGTCTTTTTGGTGAGAACAGCTCTAGTTCTGGTCTCAGGGTGTTGCTAGCCTGGTTCCCCACCACACCACCAGCCGCCTCCTCACAGCCAGGCAGCAGTGCTTTGACCCTGTGCTGGCTGCACCCCATCATCTCTGGGCTTAGGAGAATCCCCCGGGAGGTACAAGTATCTCAGCTTCTAGTTCGATCCCCTGCAGCACTGGTGCAAGTGAAAGGCTAAAGGCAGTGCCTATATGTTTCAAAAAGCCATGGCCCAAACACTTATGCTCCCTTTAATGATGTCTCAAGGCCATGGATGCTGTTCCTAAGCACAGACATGGATAACTGCCCCATTGCTCTCTCTGCTATGCCTGTAGATCTCTTCTCCACTGAGGAATATAATTTTAACAATAAATAATATCCTGAGGAGTGTTGCCTGGAATACACAGAAGCAAGCTTGGGCTGGAAGTCTGCAAATATACAAGCAGCACTTTGCTAAGGGCAAAGCATCTGTTTTAGAAGAGGATTTATGTCCATAGCATAGTTCTGCTCCCATGGTGACTGCTCTGGCATAGGGCTTCACCTGTCTGAAGGATGCTGCAGAAGGGGAAGCTGAATCCATCCCTCACACTGCACTGTAAACTCATTTAACAAGTCAAACAACAAAGCCCAGCTGACCGTGTTTCCTCCACCCTCCCTTCTCTAGCAATAGTAAACTGAAATTTTGTCAGGGCTGCTAATATTGCTTTTCACCTCCTTGCTAACTGACATCTCCAAGGGACACTGACACTTTGGCTCTTTCTGTGCTGTGTCTCTGTTAACAGCAACAAAAGCAGAGCAGGACATTTGCTCCCTGATAGGCACTGTATGCAGGTAGCACTTGTGTCCAAGCAGGGAAGGGAATTTATTGGTACTGCAGGGCAGATGGAGAGTTTGTACCATGGCCAGTCCCTGCATGGGGGACACGTGTGTGGCACTGCTGATTTCCGTGCTGCAAGGCAATGCAGGGGCAGAGCACAGCACGGGATTTTTGTCTTGGTGGTCAAGGCCACAGTTGCAGCAATGGTCTCTTAGGGCTGCTGATGACAAGATTGTGCTTACCTAAAGGGACTCTGGCAGGAACTGCTCGGCGATCGATCCAGAAGGACACCCAGGACAACATGACCATGAGGGTGGCGGGGAAGTAGGTTTGGAGCAAGAAGAAGAAGATGTGTCGCCGTAAAGTGAAGTTTATGTAGAGACGATTGTACCACCCTGTGTAACAGAAAGAAGGAAAAAGAGAAGTCACACCAACATCAAACTACTTCCAGATAAGGTAACGTTGTGTCAGTAAAATAGTGCCTCCTTTGCTTTTAGAAAAACACAGTTAATGACCACAGTTCACTGCAGTTTACTGAAAAGACTCCTTACTGAACCAGCTATCAAACTCAAAGAGCTTCTCAGGACCACATCTCCCAGAAAAGATGATATCACCTGTGCACCCAGAGAGTTTAATTCATGTTCAAGCTTGGTGTGATCTTGAAGAGGGGTTGCCTTTCCAGACACGCAACCATCAGGATAGAAGTCTGTGTCAGGGACAGCAGCCTCCACATGGAAGAAAGGTAGGTCTGATGGGCCACAGGGAGATGTCCCAGTGGACAACCCTCCATGGCCAAGGTGCAGAGGGACAGTTTGCAGCCCTCCTTCCCACAGCCTACCCACAGGTACCCACCTGTGCTGCTGTAAAAGGCGAGCTTTGTGGTGGTGTGAAACTCCTGGATGAGAAACTGGGACAGCGATATCCTCTCATCTGTTTTTAGAGAATCGTTCCCATTTTTCCAGTAGAGCATGAGGTCGTCTTCAGTGTAGGCATCTAGGGGAGCAGAGCAAACCTCAGGGCAGTGCATTGAGCCAGCTGCTATAGCACCCACAGCCCAGGGTGTGCCCACGCACCATCCAGGTGTGCCCTCCACCTACCCATGAGGTCCCTGTTGAAAAGGCCTAATGTCACCACCCAGCTGAGAGCCACAGCCACGGTGGGTGTGATTGTGGCAAGGAGGGGACTGGCTCATTGTCACAGCCCTCAGTTCTGATGTCTGGAGCATTTTGAAAACCCTCTAGTTTCTCTAATAATAATAATTTTGCACACGTAAGCCATGTGTCAGGTAACCCACCACATCCGAACTTGAAAAACTGCCCCTCATAAACATCCTAAAATCGGGAGCACAGGAAAGGAGACTTGGAGGAAAGATGCTGCTTGAGGTAACAGGAGGAACCAGCTACAAAGGTCTGAGGCATGCAGGAAGAAAATCTCTTGGGTAAACTTTCTGTTTGTGATGTGCACATGAACATTACAGGTCTTGGTTTTTTAATACATGTGGGAATATAGTAATGTTAATCCTTTTAGGGTTTAGTAGCAGCTTTTCCCAGATAGGGAGAAAAAGACCCCACTTATAAATGTATTAAAACAGAGTTAAGATTATAATTTCTTATTGCAAGTTTAAGAAGGAGAAGAAAAACAATCCTAAAAAGCTAAAAGTTTAAAATGTTGCTGTATGAAATCTAGCCAATTAGTATGTGCATCAGACCTGGGACAAAGGAACTACATGTGGGTATAAGCTGGGTTATCTCAAGTAAGTGTACAGACTGTAAGAGGAAGGGGATTAATGTCATTGCCCCGTCATGGTTTCTGCACCACGGATGAGCAAATGGTGCATGGGAGGGGCGTGGGGCCATTTATTTAAGTGTCTGAGAGCACCTGGGCAAGCGGGTGCTGCTGGAGGCTGCTGACCTGCAGGAGAGTGGCCCAGGTCCTCTGGGGATGGGGTGGTGCCAGCTTTTGGGGACACTGGCAAGACAGTGCTCACAGCTGGTGTTTAGAAACACTGCATTGTTGTAAACACCATCTAATTCTAGTGAAAAAATATGGGCATGGAGTTTTACTTAGTGCTGAAGTTTCCTGACTTCAGCTAGAGCTCCCATGAATGCAGCAGCAGTTTAATTATTGGTATAATTATTGATATAACTAAATACAGTTTGGGTGCCCGTGGGCTGCAGCCCTTGGCTCCCCTACACCTCTGCTTTACTTACAGCTTTCAATCTCCAGGGAACACGTCTGTGTGTCCAGGGGAAAGCGACTAAAATCCATGTTGCACATTGCCGTTACTGTAACTCTAGGAATAATAAAAACCACCCCATTAAAAACTTGTCATCTTATGTGACTGAAAAGCAGTAAAGCTGTTGGTCTGTTTTTTTATTAAGTAACCACTGGGCCAGTAACAGTCCACTGAAAAGAGATTCCTTCCATTCAGCTAAAGCCATTCCACTTCAATTAAAGCCATTTCTTCTTCTTAGCAAACTAGTGATAGAGATGATGATGACTACAAAGTTAGGCCTTTACAAATTGCTACTAGGTGACAAAAATATTGGAGAAGAAAATGGGAAAGGGTAGAGTGGGCACTTCCTCTTTGACTATCAGCAAGCATCTTTCTGCAGAGATCTGTGCTTTCAATGGATGCTTTGTACGATAAAATAGTTTACATTTAAAGCCATCCCAGTGCCATGAGGGATGCAGGTGGTTTTCTACACACACTGCAATTTTCCAGCGGCTCGACAAGAGGCCGGTGCTCACACCTGGATATCAGCCACCAGAGGGCACAGGCAGTGCCTTGAGTCAGGCTGGAGCTGGTCTGCGACAGAGACCGCTGCAATGCTCTGCCCCATCAATCAAAGGCTCTGGTCTTGCTGTGGTCCGATTATCTCATTTTTAACAGCATAATTTTGTATGTGCACTGGAAGCACCTATAAATCTTGACTCAACTGGCTTAAGCTCTAGGGAAGTAAATGAAAATAGAAGTGTAAATCATGATGGAAAAAGAAATAACAAATTATAGCAGGGCTAATGGTAGATAGACGTCTGTCACATAATGGTAAAACCAAGATGCAGTGCCTTATGTTAGCAGTCCTTTTGCATGTGCGGGTTCCTGCTGGTGTTGCTTTCCTATCTGGATGTAGTCCTTGAGTGAAAGTGCTTGGCTCAGATTTGTTGTTTAGGTGCCAGTGAGGTCTACAGTGGTTTCCAACACAAGAAAAGTCAGGCAAAGAACCTTTAAAAGGCAGACACTAAGGAAAAAACGTACCCTGCAGGCAAAGACATTCAGCAAAGGCAGGCAGGTGATAACGACCCGTTTGCTCTTATGGGGAGACCAGCATTCGTACTTGCCCAGCATTCACAAAGCACCCCAACCTGCTGTTGTCACTGAACAAAATCATGAAACTCTGGCAGTTTGCTATTCAAGACGTTCACCACCATTTTGTGCAGGACAATTGTTGAAGCACAAGGCCAGACATGGCAGGATCTGAGTAATTTGATGTTCTCCTGTTCCCAGCTTCTTTAGACACCCATAAATGCATGCAATACAGATGATTGGTATCATGCAGCTAAATGAAAGAGTATATAGGTATGCATGCTGTAACTGAACTTTGTCATTTTATTGTCCTTTTTTATTGTACTAGGGACCTGAGCAAACTTTGCAAAGGCCTAAGGAACACCTGCACCTTGTCTAACAGGCTGAGTGATCAAAAAGCTTTGATAACAAGAAGGTAGACATTGCTTCAGGCTGTGAATTCCAATAAACAGTAAGATAAAAGTATCAGAGTAGAAGAAAACTCTTGTCAAACTGATTTCCCACAGGAAATTGAGACTTGTTTTGCTAGCTTTCCTTTCATAAAATCACAGAACACCTCGGCAAGCTGAAAAGTTGATCTCCCCACCTGCATGGCAGGCTCAGCTCTACCTCTGACACTCCTAAGGCTGCTGCCTAACACACCCTTAAAGACTCCATTGCCTTACCAAGCAATGTGTTCTGGAACCTTACCATTAGTTAAATCTGTGCATTTTGCTGCTACTGACTTCCTATCATTCACATTTTCCTTCTTTTTCATCCTTCAGAATACATTATCTGTGAACCGATGCTTTGTTTATTTATCATGTACTTTGCTGTGGAGGTGATGTCACCATTCTTACATCAGAATATTGTACAGCATTTTCCTCTCTAATAGGTTTTTATGGGTCATTTGGCAATACCTGTTCTCTAAGTGAATGGCACTGCAGCCAAGAAAAATAGGGGCACTGATTTTAGTTTCTTTTGGAGAGTGACAGATGCTCCTCACTTCACATCTCCAAGTATAAACGTGTTACTTATTAGAAAGAAAGAAGTCCTGTTTTAATAACATTCACACTTAAGTCAGCAGTGTTCCTCTCAAGTCTGATCAACCAGTTGGAAAATAAGGGAGAAAGCCAGGGTTGGGATAACCCCTCAAACTAGAGGACAAAATAAAGTTTACCCAAAACATCCCTTCAAGAAGCTTTCATGCATTTCACATGAAATGTAAGCAAAAAGCAGAAAGAGCCTAAGTCAAGTGTTTGGGTTGCTCTAGCCATCCACGAGTCAGCAGAAGCTATATACCCTTGCTCTGAAGCTTGTCACTTCCTGTGCTGTTTTGTTGCTTATCATAAATTTAAAGTTGCACTCAGTGTAATTAATACTTCTTCATAATTACCTATAAGAAAAGAAATTGCACATTCTGTTAGGCCCAGAGACTTTGTTATATAGTGAAGTGGAGGACTATAGCTGCTCTGGACTTCTGTTTATTACCAGACACTGCCCCCTTCCTTAGACTGTGCCTTGCCTCTTCATCTGTGCCCTTCATGTGCTGGCCCCCCATGAGCTGCCCTGAGGGACTGCTGTGCCTGGCCATGGCTTCCCCAGAGCTGGAGCATGGGCTAACTAACCACACACACGGGGTGAAGGCACGCTGGCGGAACCAGCAATGTTGGCATAGAAATTGGCTTCCTGTCACAGACACTTAATGAACTTGCACAGGGACTCAGATGTTGGTGGATAGTCAGCACATTCATTCTTTTCTATGGGATTTTTTTTTAAGTATGACATCATGCAGAAACACAATACAGGAATCAATTAAACCACTTTCTCTCCCACTCCACTAATAGCTCACATTGCCCGAATGCAGCTTTACCTGAGGCTATAAAGTACCTTCCCATCTGGCTGGACCCGCAGCATGACGTTGTCTGTGGTGGTGTCATGGATGAAGGAGCGCTTGGAGTGGACAAAGAACATGTCAGGGACCCAGATCTTCTTCACCAGCCTGCCGTCAAAGGTCATGCTCTGGTTGTTGGTGCTGGGGAAGGACAGCCTCTCGTCTTTCCAGTAGTGCCTCAGGTAAAGCGTCATGGTGAAGTCCTGCAGCAAACAGGCTTGTGTCACACCTTACACCTTATTGGCACAGCAGCGATTTCTCCTCTCTGAGACAACCCACGAGCTGTAAAGCACCGTTCCTGAAGACACGGGCACTCCCTGGGCTGCAGGGGACACCACTGACTGCACCTTGTTTATTCCTTAGGTCAGACCAACTTACTGGGGCTAGGAGTCAGAGGCCATTCAGGAGGTGTGAATCCACCTCTGAAATGCAAATGTTGCATTTTGGTGCCTGCGAGCCACTCCAGGGACCAAAGGGCAGACATGCCAAAGCAGCGGTAGGTGGAGAGTGCCACCGACCACTTCATCCCCCCAAAAGGTTTGGGTTTTTTCATTATTTCTCCTCACATAATGTACTCTTAGATCAGAGGCATGCTCCTTCTTTTTGAGCTCTTTCATATTTGGAGTCAGACCCCCAGAGGCACATATGCTTGGGTTTGCCTTTTTCCTTATTTCAAAGGAAGCCCTCTTGTATCTGAAGATAAGCTCACACATAAGCTCACATACGTGTTTATAACCATGGTATCTCTGAGTGTAGCATAATATACCGCTTGTAAAGTGAGGGGAGTGTCTATGACTGTCCAATCTGCCCTGGTGTCTGGGGCAGAGGAATTGAGATCAGTTTTGGGTGGGTTTTTTAAAAATTATTTAATACTTGATTTTTTTTCCACAACACTTTCCAAGCATTTTGAAATACAGAGGTTTCTGCACTCCTTTTTTTTCCAGTAGAAGTGATTTGTTAGTTGCAGCCTATGCTATTATTACCGTAGAGGCCGACATAATTCTTGGAAATGCTTCATATCACATTGAACTGAAGCTCCCAAAGCAACTGACCATGTAATTTCTTCTTTTTCATTTGATCCATTCTATAGCCGCCTTTAACATCTTTTCTCTGTATTCAAACTTAAAGAAGATCTTTCCGGGAAACCTTTTACATTGACTCCTGTGTGCTAATGTGTCCTTTAAACTGACAGACTTTTGTTCTGCAAAGCGAGAAGTCAATGCCTCACTTTTTGCACAAAGTTATATTTATGGTTGCTGTGGAAAAATCAAGTATTGTCAGCTTTCATTAGGAGAGATTTATTAATGTTAGTTTTAGGCTATTAAACTGGGAACCACAATATTTTACAACGCATCATCAGAAAATCCCCCAAGCATCAATATCTCCCTCTTCTTTTGGTCCATTTCTCAGAGACACTATTAGGTCTCCCATTATGTTTGCAAATGAATTTCCAATCCTGGGTAACAATCTGTTTTTTAATTTCTTCCCATCTTTCCTCCAGATAAAACAGCTGCCCCTGCAAAACTCCCTTAATATCAGGGTCAGCGGCCCATAATAGATATTTATAAATTTTTTAAATTAATTGGACAAAAAGAATCTGATTTGTGACATCCTAATGAAGTTTGATAATGTCTTCTATTACTTTACTTCTTTCTTGCAAATAGCCATAAAGCAGGAGAAAAAAAGGAAAGATTGATATATCTAACTCCTCAAGCTTACATTTAGTACAGAGTGAAGATCTGTATGAAGAGCTGACGTCTCTTCATTTAAAAAGCAAGCAACGATCTTGCAATGGCCTTGCAAATACCATGGCCTTTATCTATAAAGCTGCACAAGTTAAAAAGAATTGATTCTGACAGTATAAGGTCTTCTCCATCATTATTTTGCAAACAGACAAAATTGACCTTGAATACTTTTTTTTTACCTGAGGCCATACCATATTTTTCCCATGTTGCTGGGTGTTACACAAGAAGCACGATGTTACACAAGAAGAAGAGGCAATATTCAAAAAACAGGAGAAGTTGTTCAAAATCATAATGTTTGCTTAAAAAATAAGTGGGTTTTTTGGCTTGGGGTTTTATTTGGGTTTGTTTTGTTTTGTTTTTTACTTTGAAATCCTCAATGTTATGTTCTCTCCCTTTGCTTTCAAGTCCCAAAGCTTTTCAGGGACTCTCTGTCCATCCTCACAGGCTTTCTCCTCAACCAGAAGGGTTGGGACCATCCCAGGAGACACAAAAGCTCAGAGTCCCCATGGCTGACAGCCAGGGTGCCAAGAACACCACAGACAGGGCTGACAACTGGAGGACTTCTGGGGTTGGGAAGAATGTGCACTCTGATGTGCCCCAGCATTGCACCGCTGCTGGACCCTGGAAGTGGTCGGTTGACTGCAGATATCCCGTCCCACTCAAAAGCTGAAATAGTGTGGTGAGAGGAGCCTGGTGGGCAACTGAGGTGGCTGCCGAATGCCAGCCCTGCTGCTGCACAGCCATGGTCTTGGGTTAGACATGGGAGGAGGTCGGGCACAGGCTCTGTAACCCTGCGGCTGATAATTAGGAGCACAGAGAAGTTGAGGCTTTCTGTGAAAGCTTCAGAGCTGTTTGATACATTTGTTGAAAGAGCAAAATATTTTGAAAAGTGTTCTGTGTTGAGATGTGATTTTGGTTTTTCCCTGCCAAAGCAAAGGCTGAGCTGCCTGCTGGGGATGGTCTAATGGGGTAGTCAATGGGGTACTCTTTGGATTTTAAAAGGGTAAATGAAATCGGTGTCGGTCTTGCAATGCACATGCAGGGCCATCTCCCATTTCCTTTCTGTGCTCCTGTACTGCCTGTTGTTTATGTGTCATATATGCATGTAAAATCTTCCCATGGGAAATCTGCAGAAATTATACCTTACTTTCAGCAGTGTTTTGTGATGAAAAAAGCCCCTCCAGCAAAAATCATAAAGACCAAAATCTTCACTGCTTTGAGAGCATTTGAAAACTTTCCATTTTCACCTTACTGATTGCATGGTAGGAAATAAAGGACAGAGACTCAATAAGAAATTTAGCCTGAGCAGAGCACCAGCATCAGCCCTGCGTGCTCCTGAAATCCCACTTCAGCATCAGTGTGAAGATATATGAAAGACCTGCAGAGACTTATGCCAGTACCCAGCACACAGGAGTGTGGCTAATGTACCAAAAACAGGTTTTGGAGAAATTTCTGCCCTCTGAGCTTATTTTGGCTGCCCTGTTGAGAGCAGGACTTTCCAGTCCGAACCAGTGTTGCTCTCAGACTGGCTATGTGACTTCTACTTTGGAGCTACCTGACCCCTGACCACCTCAGAACATGGCCAAAGGGAGACTGTGTCTGCAGTATGTCAAAGAGCCTTAAAACTAACACATTAATTGGTCTCCTCACAGCTTTTAAATGTGTTATCACTTTTTAAGAAAATGTAAAATCCCAAGCCCTTTGGGATAGTTTTGGTAGCGTTGCATCATTTAGTTCTAGAGAGAAGAAAATGTCAGATTTCTTCCTTCTGCCTCAAGGAAGATGGAATGGCAGCACGAGGTCAATAGAAGTAATTGTTGACAGATTCAGATCAGACATCAATCTGTCTCCTAGAGGCTGTGGAGTCTCTGTCCTTGGAGGTACTCAAACCTCACAGAGACAAACCTGGGCAGTCTGCTCTAGATAGCCCTGCTCTCAGTGGGAGTTTGGGCTACGTGGTCTCCAGGGGTCCTATCTGACCTTAGCCCTTCTGTGCCTCTTACCATGTCCACTTCAGAAATGCTGTCCAGACTTTCAACTTGGACATCCACCCCAACAGGGATTGCAGGGCCTGGGGGGGGGGAAAAATGAGGAAGTATAAAATTGGTGAGGCAAAGTAATCCTCTGGCTTTTGTATCTTAAGGATAAAAATAGGTGTTCAGTCTGAAATAGGAACAACAGTAAACCAATTGAAAACCGAAACAACTGGGATCCATACCAAAAACGTCCAAATAACAATCAAAATCAGCAATGAGACTGACCTATTACTGATTTTTTCTTTTTATTGTGTCATCCTACACATGTCCCTTCAACATTTAAAAGCCCTGCCTCTAGCACTCGGGTCCAGGGCTCCACAGACGGATGCCCAGCGGAGCATCCATTCACATGGAGAGCAGCAGTGGCACAGCTGAGGGAATGTGGGAGCGTTACTCCAAATTTTTCTCTCACTTCTGTTCCCCTCTTGGGCTCCCTGAGAGCTACTACGTGTATTTGGCTTACTACGTGTATTTGGCTTTCACATCTCTCAGGCTGATGAAAGGGGCTACGTTGCAGGACACAGGCATGTGCCACTGAGTCTGGGCATCTCAAGGGGAAAGGTTGGGCTGTGACACCACCTAATTAGGATTTTGATCTTTTTTTCCTCCTCCAGGCTTTGACTAGCCCTCATATACATCTGGCAATTAGAGTACAGGAGATCTGTCAAGATAAATGATGCTCACATTAGCGTACTGCTATGAAACTGAAACCTTTTTAAATTAATTGAACATGCTGGTATTTGGTATATTGAGCATTTAGCAATAAAATCTTCTTCCATCAGAGTATATAATGGTATCCTGGATTTGAATGACCATCTGTCAGCCAGAAAGGGTAGATAAATTACAACGTTCTCTAATCCGATGGGCTGAAAGAAAACGTGTTCTCCTTCATCCATTTCCCTGAAAGCTTAGGTTGCTCTAGCACGCAGCTGCAAACCTGTGAGCAAGCATTAACACGTGGCCATCAAAATACTTTATTTCGGGTTACAAATGAAATGGCCAGGTCAGTAAGCATGGCATATGAATTGATTATGCACACACATTGGCATATTCAGATGAAACCTTAGACTTTCCTCATCGTCCAGAAATAAACATAAGGTGTATTTGCAGATGTTTATCAGAAGAAGGTGTCACTGAATATCAGGAATATTAAATCACCTCTAATCACATTTCCATGCCTTTGACAATGCTATTTGCTCATTCACTTCACTGCACCTCATGAATTCACAACACAAAATAACAAAAATTAGAGACAGAAAAGACTGTGCTTGACAATCTGCTTTTTCACCTGACTTATTACAGGATAAAGAAGTAGCAGCATAAAACACAAACAGTGACAAATGTGCCCATTTCATACCTCCAAACCCTGGTCTCATGCTGAAGTCGTGGTCGTCTATTCGCAGCAGCTGCTCTGACTTTGTCAGTGGAGATTTGGTGATGTCTGGGCTTCGTTTTAGGATTGGGCTACCAGGAACAGAGAAGCACAACTATGAGCCCTGAGCAGTGCCTGTAAGATGTATGCACCTGCTTCACTCCATTACCCCTTAGACCATTTAGCCCTTGGACCATAACCATGCAGCTGCTTGCAGTGGCCGGCAGCGTGGCATTCAAAAATAATTCTTGTGTTCAACATGCAATGATTAGGCACCTATGGTAAGTCTGGACTGAGAGAACATTTGTTTGGTGATGTTTTGTCTCTGTAAATTTATCTCTGCTTATAGCATAGTTTGGAGTCAGTCATTCAAATGTGTGGGCTGGAGGAATAGCATGAGTGAATAAATGGGGAAATGGAAACAGTGGAGAAGCATTTCTGACATTGATTTGTGACAGGGAATGAGGCCAGGAATTAGGGAAACAATATATCAAGTAAGCTACTGGCTGTTGCCCAGGAACAAAATGGACATAGGCTGGGAACCAGGCCAGGAGGCAGGCCATCCCCTAACTTGGGATAGACGATTAGCTTCTGCCCCAGATTTCTAACGTGGATAAAACGGAGCATTAAAGACCTGGGAGGGTTATTCCAGAAACTGTTTGGATTGTACCGAATGCTAGGCAGAGGATGCTCTGCTCCTCCTTCACATGCAAGGTGCAAAACAGTAGTCACTGCCCCAGTGCTTTGGCTGAGGTGGTGGTGGCAGCAGCTCCTCTGCTGATTCATTGTGGTGGTGAAGCCCTGCTGCCCTCAGAGCCAGCCACATGCAGATGGTGGTGGTGTTACATCCCACCTCCATGAGGGTGTCAGGGAACATGGCTTCTTCCTCTGGGGCCCTCTGCATCCTGCTGATGGCACGACTCCTCCCTAAATATGACTGAGATGCTCCAGTGGTGTTCCCTTCCCCTGCCAGTCTAGGCCCAGTCACGGGGATGAGGTCGGAGGGGCTGGGGCCGGAGGGTTTCACCTACCTGCCTTGCTTGTGCGCCTCGCCGTGGGCCTCCCGTCTTTGCCGCTGCGGCCGACTGCAAGCGAACAAGAGGAAAAGGGAGAGCTGAGACAGGCGGTCATGGGCAGCTGACGACATCAAGAGGAAAGAGCGGTGGGAAGCACTGGTTCCCTGTGGTGTTACCTTCTGTCACACGTGCAAAATGGCTCTCACCTTTTTATTTTTACCTTTTTACTGAGCGGTGTCATGTCGGGTGTGGTGGAGGGTGCGGAGGACAGGGATGCCTAGGGCTTGTGGCCAGGACAGGGCGAAAAGAAGGGAACAAAGATTTTTGTGAGATGAGACACTGCTGGTTTTGACTGCCTGGTAAAGGCCCAGGCAGGCGACTCACCTCCCTCCTCCTGCAGCCATGGCCGGTGCCATCAGGGGCTCTGGAGACAGGCAACCTGCATGGGCCAAGGGGGGCTGCCTGGGGACCTCTGCCAGTGGTCAGACAGCCATTACATCTACTCACCAGAGGCAGTTGGGTATTTTCATGAGAATAAAGTCTTTTCAAAGTATTTCAGGGGGAAAAAATAGAAAGAAACTGTGGAAATATTTGTTTCTGGTTTCATACTCTCCCAACTGGCTGTGTAGAAAGCTCCTCTCAGGTATTTGGCCAATATTTTATTTTGTCATTGAAGGAAAGAATATTGCTTTTAGCTATGTAAGTACGAGCTTTAGTAAAAGTAACATTTTAAACATTTAACAGTTTTACTTAATCTTTAATTAAAAGTTAAAAAATCTAGCTTATCACTGTAATAAAGACTAACTAATCAGCTCTGTGAATGAGATTTTTTGCCCATTAAGATACATTTCAAATCCCACTGTAGGGATTTAAAGTCAAAACTCTAACAAGTGTCACCACTTGAGCACCATCGCCTCATTAGTGAACAGTGGCTGAACCCCAGGCCTTGGAGGAAGTTTTTTCCCTGGGCTGGAAACTCTCTGAAAACCAACAGTGTTAGAGGGAAATTAATCTTTCTGCTGTCACGGAGAAGCAGACCACCTCCACATTGTCCAGACTAGGAGTGGGCACACCGGGCTGTGTCACTTGCTCGCCCTGAAGCAAAGCATTTGCCAAGTGGGATTGGTTTCTTGCCAAAAATCTGCTCAGTGTGCTTCCCAGAGGAGGGATGGGAATAAGCCCACAGGTAGACCACTGCTTTGGGGAGCCTTGGGCCACACAGCACCATTGCTATGGGAAGGAGCAGCTTCTTTGGCACTGCTTGGGCCTGGATATAGCACAGCAAAATTGACTTGCAAATGCAAAATGCGGTTTCTGGAGTCTTCTGCCTTGTGGATGTGCCCTTGGGCTGCCGCTGACGTGTCTTGCTGCTGCCCATTTCTCATCTGCCGACCATCAGGAAGTAAATTCACGTGTTTCGGGATAAGCAGATTCTGGTGACAAGCTGACCTACTTACATGACTTTAAAGTGCCCTAGTAAACTCTTGGCTGTTCAGGAATAATGCTGGTTTTCAAACAGAGATGAAGCAGGCCATGTTCTTGCAATTTCTAATTTTCATTTTACTTTGTAGAGATTAATGCTTCACGTTGGCCTTAGCCCTATCCTGCCTGTCGAGGGAGGCTTCAAGGTATGGCCATCAGGGATTCGTGAACAAATCCTCCCTGTCCTCTCCACCCAGCAAATGCAAGTGGTTCCTCTTATTTCTTCCAGGTGATTCTCCACTGCCTTTAAACTAAACTTTATTTTCTTATCACAAACCATCATAAAATGTCTCCCTCACTCCAGCCACTGCAGGGGACTGTATTCACTTGTGCTTTTGTTTCACTCCTTCACTTCATTTTGCCAGTCCCATTCCCCTTGTCACAGCTCTGAGGTTACTGAAACTCCCCTGCTTTCCTGCCTCCTCCTGTAGCAGCAAAACATTTTTACCTGTTGCCAATCATTCCCCAGTTACCGTGATTTGAAGCCCCATTTCTTTCTACTCAATAAACAGCTTTTTCTGGTCCGATTCCTGGGGGCTGCTCTGCTGGCTAAGTGATCAGTGGCAGCTCCATCAGGGGACCCCATTAGCCTGCCTGTTCAGGCTGTGATCAATGGCAAGCCACTGTGGCCTCCCCTCGCATGTCTGCTGTCCCTGCGCATTTGTGGCAGACAGCAGCACTCAGGAGATTCACTCCAGACATTGCTCATAGATTGCTCAGCACAACTGTTTGCCATGGCAGACACGCAGTGTGATGGTATTGCTCCTGCCTTCGCTAGGGTGACGGGCTGTCTTTAAAACTGACCAATAACTCCTGCGGTAAAATATACTGAATAACGGACAACATGATTGGTTTTGTTTTCTAATGTCAGTATTTATCTCCCAACAGTTACAGTGCTGAAAGGCATTTAATGGCTCATGAAGCTCACTGAGACACTTTATGAAAAGACAATAACTGGATCTGAGTGGCATTTATTCACAATGCTCCCTGTGCATTGGTAAAGTAGCTCTCAGGCCCCTGATGGCAGCTGAGGTGATGCAACCTATCCAAAGTCATCATTATTGCCCTAGATCTCTTCACTGATCATGAGATGCTCTGCCCCAAAGGCTGAGGCATGTTGTGGCTCAATGGGAATGAGGCAACTGAAGCTTAGGAAATACAGGGGGAAAAATTCAGCAAAACCGTATTTTCATCACTATCACTACAAACACAAGGCAAAAAACAGTCACACTATTTTTATAAAGCCTGAGATTTACTATGGCACTTATAGTCCCTCCAACACAGCAAAAAGAGTTGCAGTGTTAGATATAACCGTGTCTGATTTTTAGAAGAGACAGTCCAACCATGACATCTTAAGCTCTCGGCAGGCATTTCCAAATGCCCAGCTTCACAGCATGTGTGCCAGAGGAGTGCCAGGTCCACACTTGCAGAGTGCACCAGAAAACCCACAGTAGTCTTCATCTTTGAAATAAGAGCTTTTGAAAGCAACCACGACAAATGTGAGAGAAGTCACTACCCATCTTAGCATTTTAGATTCTAACTACTTATGCAGCATATCTTTTTCACCAATAAATCATACTCTTTTCTCTATGGGAGGCAATATACCTGTAGTAAAGAGTGACCTCTTTTGCACTCTTACTGGGATAATCTTATTAGGATCTGAGAACATTTCTTCCTTCAGGAATACAGTTTCAGTTCTTCAGGAAAAAGCAATATCTGATGCATTTTCCTCAAGAGAAAGGTGAAAGTAAGTTGCTGAAGTAATGGAGCCTGATTCACATGGTCTTTCCCTGGTCCAACAGCTGACATCCCTGAGGAACAGTGCTGGTGGTTTGGTAGACTGGGATAACACTAACGTTATTATCAGACTTCATTAAATTCTGGGACAGTCTTTCCTCTCTATCTATTCTTAGGTCTGCAGAGAGGATGGTAGATCAGAGGAGAGATGTCAGAACAGATCATGTCTCGGGAAATATAGTTGAGATGTGGCTGTGAAGTACTCTCTGTCTCTTCGGTTACTTGCGTCATCAGCAAAATTTTGGCCAGGGGCTGTGGCTGTAACTGACCTCAAACCTCCTACCCTGAGTGAAGATGCCTGCTGCCCCAGGAAGCCTGGCAGTTGTGGCAGAGACACCAGAGTTGCCTGTTTCATCTCTGCCTATCTCAGGTCAGGGTGATGCCTCCACCTCATTTCTGGTGCAGAGACTGTGGACTCTCCCCCGCTACCCTCTGAAACCAACCCACACTTAATTTTGTCAGATACAAGCTCTGCAGCTCACACTGTGCTGCAGTGCAGCTGATCCACAGCCTCTCCTACCACTGACGCAGGACATGGGAGGGTGTGGAGCTTGCTGAGCCAGTTTTCAGCAGGCATGTTAATTGGAAAGTAATGAAAGTGATGAAAACTCCATCATCTCTGCCAGCCATGCCATGGTGCTTGGCTCTGGGGCTCCCATACCTGCGTGGACACTGGAGTGCAGTCTGTGTGATGCCTCCCATCCTGCACCCGTGATGCTGCACAGCCCTCATGCCATGCCAGGCAGGGGAACAGCAGGAGCTGCATTCTCCTTGGTCTGCCCATCAAACTGTGGCTGGGCAAGGCCCTGATGAAACTGCCTGAGGGAGGAGGAGCAGGAGGGAGCGGTGGAGGCAGCCCAGCTCCCTGCAGGGGATAAAACCTTGGCAGGGAGGACATGGGAATGGCAAAGGTGTATTGGGACTACTAAAGAGCTGTGAGAGGTGTGAAGGTCTTATAAAAGACCTATCCCTATATTTGACTAGATTTTGTTTCTCCCTCTGTTTTGTTACTTCTGTTTTAGTGACATGGGTTTATACCACATCAGCATCCCATTAAAAGCAGAAACCAGGCCTGGGGTGCTGGTTCAGGGAAGGATGGAGGCAGCAAGGGGCTGGGGGAGGCATGGGGTTTTATGTACAAACATACAGAAAGTTCCTGCAGAGAAAAAGAGGCAGAGACAAAGAGAGTGTGCATGTGCAACACAGCCTATGCATTGGGTGAGGCTGAGGAGAAAAGAAGCTGAATAGAGATAGTTGGTGAGAGAGAGAACACACTGGGTGTAAGGCCAGAGAGGAAGAAGTCAGAAGGAGCAGAAAGGAGACACCAGGCTCAAACAGTGCCTCACCGTTGCATGGAATGACTCCTGGGACAGGGACATCCTAGACAGTCCTGCGCGAGTAGGGATGTCCCTTCACTGCAGAGCCATGCAGTGCAGAGATGCTACCAAGCCCTTGGAGATGCATGGCCCAGCATGGTCTTTGCTGGGCTAAAGAACCTCCCAGGTGGTGTCTCAAAGGACAGAAAGAGGTTTGAGGGCAGGGATCACATAAAGTTCCCCCATCATGTGCATTTGACTAGCAAATTAGTTGGGAAGATTTTCTCAGCAAGAAGGGCTCAGTGCTGAGTCCAGTCCTGTTCAA